GTTGGAGCAGAGGGCAAGTAGCAAATTAAATAGGGCAGTCAGGGAGGCCGTACTGAGAAAGTGAGATCTGAGCAGATATTAGATGGAAGGACAGAAAATAAGGAGTTGAAGACATAATGGTAGGAGGTTATTTTAGGAAGGGAGAAAGGCCTTGAGGTATATGTTCCTGAAAATGAAAGAATCCTTAGAGTAGGAAGAACAAGGCACAGGTGAGTAGGAGTTGAGATCAGAAAGTTGGTGGGAGTTTGCAGGCAAGGAAGCCCTTGTACCACATAGGCCCCTGTAAGTCATTGTCAGGACCTTGGTTTTTACTCTGACGGAAATAGGAAAACATTTGTAGGTTTCAGAGCAAAGTAGTGACAATATCTGATCAATGTTCTAAAAAGAAAACTGTTTTCTATGTTAAGAATAGACTGCCAAAGGGCAAAAGTCAATGCAGGAAGATGTCCCGTTAGAAGGTACTTCCGTATTCCAGGTACAAAATAATGGGTAATGATGGCTCAGGTAAGGATAGTGGTAGTTCAGATAGTGAAAAATAGTTGGATTCTGAAAGTGAGTTGTGAAGAAGAGGAATAAAGGGTGACTCCAAGGTTTGCAACCAGAGCATGGGAGGACAGAGTTGTCATCCACTAAGAACAGCTGATGCTATTTCACAAGGATAAAGGGGAAGATGATGGGTTCAATTTTAGAAGTGCTGCATTTGAAGCTCCTACCTCCCTAGGAAGGTATCCAGGTGAGGATGTCAAATAGGCCATGGAATGTATGAGTCCGGAGTTCCAGAAAGAAGTCTGGACTGAGACATAAATTTAGTTGATATCAGTTTTTAGATGGTACTTTAAGTCATAATGAGCTCAGAGACTATACCAGAGAATGGGTGAGAATAGAATAAAAAGAAGAACCAAGACCTGAGACAGGGATACGCCAACATTAAAAAGTGTAGAAATACAGTAGGAAGGAAGGAAGGAAGGAAGGAAGGAAGGAAGGAAGGAAGGAAGGAAGGAAGGAAGGAAGGAAGGAAGGAAGGAAGGAAACCCACAAAGAACACTGCAAAGTTGTAGCCAGTAAGGAACAGTCAGGTGGAAGTGATGGGCAAGTCCAGGATCTGATGGACAGATTTAGCAGTGTGGAAGCTATTGATAAACTTGAAATGAATATTTTCATGAGGAGGAAGGGGATAAGAAAAAAGTGATTCATGCAACTTAAGAGAGAACAGGAAAGGAAGGATTGGAAAAAGTAAGGCATATTTTGCAAGTAGTTTGCTGTAAGGAGTGAACATAAGTAGGATGTGGAGGAAGTGGAGTAAAAAAAAAAAGTTTTTTTCTTAAAATCTGAGAAATAACAGTATTTTTTTGTATGGTGGTAGAAATAAAATGGATTACAGAAAAGAACAAGGGAAAATTGTCTCTGCGTGTTCTTGAATAGAGGGGTTGGGTCTACAATACAGGAAGAGGACTTAGATAAGAGCACGAATAGCTTCATTATGTAAGAGATGGGAAGGAAGATTATGAGTGAGTGCATGCTGATAGGTGGCATTTGTGGTACTGAGGAGTGTTTTCTGTTTGTTTCAGTCTTCTCCATGAAACAGAACATAAGGTTATCAGCTAACAGCAAGGGGGAAACGTATTGAGGTTTCAAAGGAAAAGGACACATTTTGAGATGAACACTCACAACAGGAAGAATAAAGAGAATAGGAAGCCAGAATATGATTGCATGGTAATATTAGATGCCTACTTGAAATTTGTTATTATAAAGTAAAGGGAAATCAGCAGAGTTGCAAGCTTTTGTCAGCTATGCCCAGATGCACAGCTATGGATCCAAAATGGGCTGACTTGAATTTAGCCAGAGCTGAGCTCTTGCCAAGTTAATATGATGAGTCAAGCAAGGAAAAGAAGAGTTCAAGGTATATAAGAAAGAGTGATTATAATGATTCACTGTGAAATTTTAACTAAATAAGGAAAAGTGTGTGGGTGTCAAAGATAAGAGGAATCATTAAATGGTGATTGCGTCAATGGAACAACTCACTGGAAGTATGTGTAGGACTGTGGGGTCAGAGTAGCAGAAATTACAGGCTGGAAAGATAGGAAGTGCAAGTCGGAGAGTAAAATGCATAGATTTGAGATTAAATGTTTAAGAAGAATTCAGGAAAAGACAAATGAAGAATATAGAGCTCTAAAGGATTTATTCAGAGAAACTGGAGAAGTCAGACATAGACTCAAAGAAATTACATATATAAATTTTCTAAATATAACTCAAAGACTTAAAAAGACAACCAAGAGAAAGAAAAGGAAAAAAATCTAAAAAACTTCTGAGATGAGGTGATTTATAGAATGAACATCAAATATACTAAATGTTTAGGGACAGGTGGACCAGAACACAGAAAATCACATATAGTGAGATGATAAAGAACTGGAACAGAAATATTATTATCAGAAAGGTAATAGGAAATATAGAAAATTCAGCATATGCAAAAACAGGTGCTTTTAAAAAGTGAATAGGGTAAGGATTAAAAACATTATTGTGAGTACTCAAGTAGAAAAGTCAAGTAAAAAATGTCGCTTGTCTACAAAATGTCGCTTGTAAGGAAACAAAAACAGCTGGCTGGCCTGAGACTTGTCTGCAGGAAGACATAATGCAGAAACCCTGGAGCAATCTCTGCAAAGCAGGATTCTATACCTAATCAAGTCTCAGGATTCTATACCTAATCAAGTTATTCTTGATTAACACAACAAACATGTCCTCAAACACAAGAAATTAGATACCAGAGACTGCTGTGTAAATCAAAAATTTATTAGAAGTAAAATGCGTCAGATAAAGTAATTAATAGAAATTAAACTTAAGTACAGGAAAGTCATCATCAAAAGATACTTATTATCATTGACTTTATTAAGTATATAAGCAAATATAAACAACTATGGAAATTATGGTTTCAGAGCAGAATTTGTAATCCCTTGATATGGAAAAACAATGATATGACTAACAAATATGATCTGTCTGAGAGGAGGAGAGATGGGAAGAAATAAGAGTAATGAATTTCCTTATCTTATCTGCTAGCAAAAAATCAATAGATATTAAAATACATAGTTAAAATTGATAATTCTGATCTCTAATTATATATACATATAAACTGGAAAGGGTTCTTTACAGTAAAAAAATTATTTTAGGAACTAGTATCACTTGTGTAGAAGAATAAAAAATATGTCATTCCATACCATTTTATTACATTGTATTAAATTCAAATAAAATTAACCTGAATAGCAGTATTTTAAAATGTTATATTCTTTCTGACTTGTACACCACAACTTTAAAATAAAATTTAAATTAAAAATAAATAAAATGCTATATTCTGTATTGTCTTTCTATTTTTGTATGTTTCTCTAATTTTTTATTAACAAAGAGAAAGATAATTATCTGACTTTTTTTAACCAATGTTATGCTAATAGTGATTTTTGAGCGTTAATATGATTTGAGATGATTTTTTTTTTACTATCTTCTTGCTAGGTTGTTAATTTTAGTAGTGAGCATATATGCATTTTATAAAATGATACTTTTAAAAAAATTAAGGCAAGCATTTTGTTCCATATAACCTAAGAAAGTAGGGTGTTAGAAAGTTATCATAGGCCTCTAAAGAGGAATGATGCTGAGTAATCAAAACTATGCAGTGGTTAAATAGAAAAAGAAAATATCCAGTGTTTTAAAGAATTTTGAGAAGCATTATTTTTATATGCTGCTAATTAAAACATTAGCAAAATATTCTTTTTAATACAATTTTAAGTACTGCAGCATCTTATTCTTCTAAGAAACCCACCTTCCTTCCTTCCTCTCTCATCTTTCTCTTTTTTTCTTTTTTTCCTTCCTTCTATATAATTATATATATATTAAAAATACTCAAAATTTTAGTGGAGGTGATCTCTGGATGGTGAAAACACACACACACCACACACATGTACATATACATACATATGTATATTACACATATTTTTCACATTTCGTTCTATCTGTAGTTTTTTTCACCTTTAGTTTACCAACATCCTACATTAAAGTGAAATATCACATTTTTCAATTCTAAGATACACATATTTTTACATTCCCCAGGATAACTTGTCTGCATGTCATAGAATTGACTCAAAGATGTTTCCAAGATCAGAATGGAGAAGGTAACAATTGGGTTGTAAGGTAGGTTGGTTTTTACCAGGTCAATAAAATTAAGACAGGAAGGAAATGTTCAACAGGAATGCAGTTATGTACCAAAAAGCAAGATGAGAAGAGGGAGAGTTTTTTGATGGGGAGAAAAACCACAGCTTTTTCTGTAGCATGCCATTTAAATAGAAGTAAGACATTATAAGAAAGAGTTTGTAGACTGGGCATAGTCAGAGCAAGATTGCAAAGGCTCTGGGAAGCTGGTTTTATAACCATGGTCTTTCAGAATGGGGCCTATTGTGAAATTACTTACTTTTGAAATGCAAACACCAAACAGATTTTGAATGTCTTTCTTAGCCTTGTATAGATTAATGTATTTTACTTACAAATTTTATCAATTTAATTTTCACAATTCTTGCATAAATATAAAATAATAACCTTACATTAAATTAAAGGTGACCTTACCCTCTGTATCTGCTTAATCTCTGTCATTTGTAATTCTATTCAAAAGCTTCTTTCCAAATGATAATACACGTTGGATTTGCACTCTTCCCTTGATTATGCCAAATGTATAATTTATTTTAATAATATATTTTCTTTGCCCTTAGAACAAATTCTTAAGGACATGTTCACAAGTAAAAGTGAGAAACAGGAAATTAACATTTTTTTCCCAGATTACTGAGTTAGCCTTTTACTGGACTTTAAAATAATGATTAAATAGTGGTAAAGTTTAGATTATTTTTCATTTGCATCAGAATCTCTCATATAAAGAAGAATTCTGGTATTTAAATGCACTACATATTCTTATTTTCAGTTCCTCTTTCCAAAAGCATGAAATAAGAATTTTGAAGAAATTGCCTTACCCAGTGAGTTTGACTGCATGTGTCCGAAGCTTTTGATATTTTTCTGATTCTTTATTTGTGCTGGTAACATGTCTATATATCCCTGACTTATAATGGAAGAAATCCTCATGGACTTGCATTATGGCTAAAATAAAAACCAACAGGACAAATGTCACAGTCTTAACAAATCATCTTTAAAAATTTTTACAGAACAATCAATGAGTAAATTGCAAGGAGCTAAAGCTAAAAAGAAATTGTGTAATTCAGCCTAATATTCTTTCTTACTTGGTTGCAATATTTTATTTTTCTCTTATCAAAACAACTTTTAACTGTTTAGAATATTACTTAAGTGCACAAGATGCCTTTAAAATGCCATCTAGTCTTAATCAACAGAGGCTCTACTACTAGGAATTGAGTCCCTTGCAGTAAAGTCCTTCTACACTGTCAGTGATTGCTGTTTCTCCATTAACCTTGTGCTTTACCACAAACCTTTTAAGACCCCAATTAAGCTAGCAGAGAAGGGTGAGCCTAGCAGACTGGGCTTAACGCAATTGTCTTTAATTCTTTTGAGTAAATACAAATTTTTCTTTGGTGAGTTTGAATTAGAAAAAAAAAGAAACCCTTGTCAAAAGGATACTCTGACAAATTTTCATTCTTCCAGCTCTGGAGAGCTAAGCCAACTTTATATGCTTTAAAAAGTAGAGCTTATACTTTAGAAAACTCTCCTTTTCTCCACCTAGATGACTTTTTCTCTCTATTGTGTACTGCTTTGTTGAAGGGCTTGGCAATTCAGAGTGAAGACTTTAAACTTTGCTACTAGAAGGCATGAATTGAAAATGTTTAAACTGGGATGACATACTTATACCTTGAGAACTGTGTACAATGCTTATCTATCTCAGTATAATTTGCATTTTAAATAAAATAGAAACTAAGGTAACAAGCATTTGACAGAGCCTTTTAAAAAGAGCTTACACTCTAAGGTTAAATATAACTTTTCTAATGTTCCACTTTTTATTTCTTTTTTTTTAATGTTCCATACTTTTTCTGACACTGTTCAAATAGTCTCAAAAGAGGTTAAATCTTCTTTATCTACTTTTAAACACATTCCCATAGGATTTTAAGAATTTTTATATTTGTACTATATGTTTTGTTCTCTCTCCATCACCTATACTTATTTTTAATGCTACAGATTTTAGAAGTATGTACACAGTGCTATTATTCAGCATTCTATTGCCTTTTTCATTCTTTTGTTCTGAGACGAGGGAAATGCTGTTCGCTAGGCCAGGCAAAAATGAGCAGACAATCACAGTACATCTACAGCAAGAGGCATCAAGCCAGCATTCTACTCATTTATAAAAATATGAAGATATTGCTTGTGGTTTTTCTTTCCTAAAGAACCATTGACCTCTTTAGGTCTTATAATTCAGCTTTTCTTTAAGTACCATGAGTAAAATATATTCTTCATTGCTGAAAAACTAAAGAAGGTGAGAAGTCATCATAATTAACTAAAAGATAGCTTCTTCTTTAAGTTCTGATACCAAGATAGACTTGGTAAACCCACAAACATGTAACTAACTATTTAAACTACTATAGTGTAATTTTACTTTTGGGAAACTGCAGAAAACTCATGATACAGAATTATAGCATGCATGAAGACAGATTAAGTGGGTGTTCAATAATTTACATTTTTATTTTATTATTTGGAAATTATAACTCTTTATTTTTGCTTCAATGTGTGAAATACATAAGCATGCAAGTATATAGGCATAAAATGAAACTAGGATAGTCTCAATTTTAAATAATTATAATCCAATTTTTTGACTGATTAAAAAAAAGAGTGAAAAAAAAATAATGATCTGTAATACAATGATTTGAAGATTTGAGTAGTTAAGTAAATTGTCCAAAGTCAGTTAAAGTAGCAAATGTCAAAGCTGAAATTTTTGAGTGTGGCCTTGAGGTTAAATATTTATGCTCCTTCAAATCTGTCACACAAGCACCACTTAATGAGCACACATTGAGATTAAACTTGAATTCCTCCACTCCTGTAACAGTAAACAAATTACACAACTGTAAGGAAAGAAAGCCTTCTCCTCATTTGTTTTAGGTTTTACATAAAGTCCCAGGATTTTTAAAATTAAATTCAGAACATATTTACTGTGAGCTTTGGTTTCTTTTAAATGCTAAGTGGTAAGAATAATGATCAATAAAAATTCTTCCAACACAATTATAAAATCCATGATTCTTGCCATATTTTGGACCAATACTAATTAGATCAATGCTCACAAAAACAAAAACTGGCCAATAGTTACTCAAGTATATATCAAATGTTTAATATCTAATTTGGGCTTATTTTATATTCCACTGCATTGATAAAATATTTTGGGCCCCTCAGTGTTCACAATCTAAATTTCCATTTTAGGGCTTATTGGATTTGCTCTTCTATGTGCCTCAAGGCAATGTTTACACAGAAAGTATATTCTGTGAATTTATCCTTATCCATGCCATTGTTGCAAAATAAAACTTCAAAGCAAAAATAACTATCATCAGAGATAATATTTTGTAAATTAAAGTCAATGTACAGTAAGTCACTGTATTATTTTAGTATTTGCTGTTAGATTACTCTCAATAATACATTTATAAAAATGATCAAAATTAAAGCCTTTTGTAAGACAGAAAAATTATACTAGCTTATCTGGTTTATTTTGAGCACATACAAAAAGAAAATTATCTAGTTTGTTGTTAATATTAATCCTCAATTTATTTCAATCTATTGCCTAATTCATTTATACTGAAGGGAAGAAAATACAAGGGATGGACGCCCCAAAATCCCTGAAATTTATTTGTAAAAACTTGTGTACTTATTCTTACATGGTTAAACTTCAGTCACCTTTAAAGTACTCTTCAAGTTGGATGCAATACACCTATTGAGATACTCTTCCACTGCTCAAAACAGTTTTTGAACTGGTGAATTTTGATGCCTATTAGTGCTTCTGCCATTTTCTGTTTCACCTCTTCCACGTGGGCAAAATGTTTCCCTTTGAAGGCTTTTTTGTTCGGAGAAACAAACAAACAACAAGAAGTGACTTGGGGTGAGATGGGTGAAGAGGGAGGGTGGGGCATGGAGTCAGTCAACATTCAGTATAATTAAATTCAGTATAATTAAATATAGTCATTTTTATATCAAAAACGTCGTTTTTGATTTAAAAAACTACTGAACACAGCGCATGGTGTGGGCAGGTGTGTTGTCATGGTGAAAGAATAATCACGTGTTTGTCACAACTCAAGATGTTTCTTCCACAAATAGTGCAACCTTCTCAAAACTTCCAGATAGAAATTTGGGTGGACCGTTTGGTCTGGAGGAACAAATTCTGAGTGTACTGCCAAAAGCTAATTCTGGGTTTTGTTGGGTCGCCCCTTTGTAAATACATATATGATTCTTAAAGATCATTGAATGAAAAAGTGAGTTTCATTGTAAATTTTATGGCATTTTATGTTTGACTTGGCATTTTATGTTTGACTCTCTGTTCGTCCATGATCACTTTAAAAAGACTTAGCAGACTTCATCAAATGTGCCCTTACTATTTAAAAGTTCAATATATAAATAGTCTAACCTTTGGAAAAATAATGGCAGCTAATAAAGTTATTTGGTGAGCATATCTCCCACAATTACACTGATTTTAGAACTGTTAAAACCTTATGAAGACACTTAACGTAAAAGTTTTCTTTCATTTATTAAACTCCTTTTACATGAGCTCAATGTAAAGTTGTTTATTAAAGGAATGAATAAGACAAAACAAAGCTTACCTTGAACTGGTCCATTTTGCATAATTTCTTTCATTATCTCAGTTTCCTGAGAGGATAAATATCAATGAGCATCATCATGGTTATGACAGCACAATAAACCTATTGGTTGGTGGACAATGTTAGATGTCGTACAGTCAATTTAGGTGTTATATAATCTTTGGCTATTTGCAATTTACTCTTAGTCATGCTATGAAATACTCACATTTGAAATGCCACATTAATGAAATTGCAAGACAAGATGCATCCATTTGTTTCAAAACTTGTGTTACTAAATAATTTTGGAGTGGAGAGAAAATGCAGTAACTTTTTATGGTGACAAAGAAAACAAGACTCAAGGTAAATTAAAAACATGTTTAGGGCAACCCCTTTGGGTCTCCTCCTACTGTGGGAGCTTTTCTGTTCTCTCAATAAATCCTGCTTTCTTAAAAAAAAATGTTTCATCAGTGGAGTTTAACATCACCTCTAATCTTTTGACCACAAGCACTATCCCAAATGATTGTTTAGTGAGGTTCTTCAGTAGCTTTAGTACAAATATTTCCATGTTGCCTCCCAATGTGTAATGCAGCCCTCGGTAGGAAGGCAGAACATTTATTCATTCTTCTGTGCACATCGAGCACAAAGTACATACCAGAAACTATGACAGAAACAAATATCGACACTGAAGCAATGTATTCATGTTTTGGTGGCATAGACAGACTGTAACACTAATTTCATTATTATATAAGAAGATCTGTTATAGAGACAAGCACAAAGAGCCAAGGATGCAAACAAAAAGGGGAAACTAATCCTGCCTAGGAATCAAGGAAAACTTCACAGAAAAGATGAAGTTTTGACGTGAACCTTGACACTCATGTGGCATTTCACCAGACAGAAAGGTGGGATAACCATTTAGGTCAGAAGAATTATCACCTAACTAAGTAGAGAAGCATTAAAGGGCATGCTGTATCTGGGAAACCGGGACTAGTCTTACATATCAGGAGCATTATGGTCAGGGAGATGGGGCACATGCTGTCAGGACATGATTCTATAAAAGTAGTATGTCATAATTGACTCATGAAAGGCCAGTGTGTCATGGTGAGAACACTGGTTGTATACTGGAGATAACTAGGAGTCACTGAAAGTTCAGATATGCTGCAAATGAGAAGGCCTGGCTAATGCTGATATGACGGAGAAAATTTTGCCTTGGCTTTTGACATGACAAACTGGCATCCAAGGGAGTTCTTTTTTTTTTTTTCATTATGGCTATATGTTCATCAATTATTTTGTGAAGCAAGGCAAAGGATTGATAAAATGAGTTACTATCACTAAAAAGTCAGCTTTTAATTGTCAAGTTCATAAATATATATATATAATATGTTTGCATATATATATGTCATATATATTATAAAATAATTTAAAAACCCTACTTTCATGGGTATCTTTTAATTTAAGCCAAATCTTTACATTATTAATATTACAAAAATGAGAAATCATACCCAAACTCAAAGTATTTAAAAATCCATTAAGGACATAAAAAATTATACCTGGAAACATAACATATATTTTAGAATAAAGTAGTTTTAAATAGTTTTTATAATAGCAGAGTTATATATATTTGAGAAAGTCAACCATTGTTAATTCTTGCCATTCAGACTTACATTGGAAGAGACTCTATATGGAGGAGAACACTGATAGATCCTGTTAGACTTCTCTATGTTGTTGGGACATGGCTTTGTGGCATGCCGTTTTCCCCGCCCATCAGACCTACTTGTCATGGCGCATCCACTGTGGGCAGCATTTTGATCCTTGAAAAGTGGATAGCACGCATGGGATACAAGTCTATGAGGAATAAGCAAAGAAGCAAAGAAAATATTTAGGAAAGTACCATAACATTCTGACTATATTTAATTATACTGAATTAAGCATTCATAAATTATTCTGGTGACTTACATGCATAAGTTTCAAAATGTTGACTGACTCCAACATGGAAGCTCAGTGATGTTACACTGCTCCCTACTCCCCTCTATTTATCATTATAAATTTAAAACCTTGTTTTAATTCATTTTTAATGAATAATTCTATCTGTAGTATAGAATTTCCTAGAGATGAAAAGTGACCATCAATAAGTCTGTGGTAATACTAATATGGAAAGAATTTCTTCAACCTGTATACTTACAACACGGAAAAGACAAATTTAATATGAAAAAGGCAATAAATTTAACTATTGCAACCATTACTTTGCTAAACTCTGATGCATCTACGTGGCTCTCTGAGCTACCGCCGTCATGTTTCTTAGCTTTGGCACCCTTCCCAATCTTGGGGAGGTAAATCTCTCTGTCTCCTCTCTCTCTCTCTCTCTCTCTAATTTACTTTCTAAGTAAACTATATTTTCTAATCTAAAAAATTAACTATTGCAAGATAGAATATTCTGATAAATTGTAAGTTTTATAATTAAGCTTTTTCTTGTTTTGTTGTTTAAAATTTCTCATAAGACTTCAATTATTACACATATGCAATTCATGATACTTTGGGGAAAATAGTATAATACTAATATAATATTAAAAGTTAATAAAATAGAAATATATCAGATGTATACATGTTACGAAAGATACAGAAAATGATTTCTGGTTTGAAACTGAGCATAGCAAAGTACAAACTATTTGGTTCCAACTCTTACATGATCCTATTGACTACAGAGGTAGAAAGCAAGGGAAATAAAGTCATGGAATTTGTTTTGTAGATATTCAATTCTGAAATGGTCATAGAAGTATCCCCTAGAATTGGTTTATGAAAATGTAATAGAATCCAACACAGTATGAGAGTCTGAGGAAAGAGCATGATGAAAGCAGAGCCATTAAAAAACAATAAAACAGTTGAAAATATTGCATAAAATGTATTATATTTTCATTAAATGATGACTGCTACGGACTGGACTGTGTCACACTAAAATTCATATGTTGAATTGATATATAACTAAGACATATGACTAACACCCAAAATAATGATCTTTGGAGGAGGGCCTTAAGGAGATGCGAAGGGGAACCAAAAGAAAAGAATCAGAATTGCTTTTTAGAAGGCGGGCCCTTTGTAGTACAGGTTTTCCCTGCTAGGTAAGTGTTTTAGGAACCCATCACCATCAGTGTACCAGCTAGCATTGTTGTGAGAGGCTACATTTGACTTCAGGTAATTCTTTTTTTTTTTTTTTTTTTTTTAATCCTTTCAACGCATTTGCCCATTTCTCGATGGGTGATTTACCAACACACCTGCCTACACTGTGCTTAATGTTCAACAGTTTTTGACCAAAAATGGTATGATCCCCATGCCCCACCATCCCTATTCACCCAATCTCACCCTGAGAGACTGTTTTTGTTTCCTCAGGAAAAATCCTCAAAGGAAAATGTTTTGGTGATGTGAAAGAGGTAAAGCAAAAAATGGCAGAAGCACTAAAAGGCATCATAATTGATGAGTTCAAAAACTGTTTTCAGCAATGGAAAAGCATCTCGATAGATGTATTGCATCAAACAGTGGGTACTTTGAAGATGACTAAAGTTTAAAAATGTAAGAAAAATTACACATTTTTTTTTTTTTAAGTTGGAGTCTCACTCTATCGCCCAGACTGGAGTGCAGTGGCCGCTCCCGGCCACCGCAGCCTCGACCTGCTGGGCCCCGGCGATCCTTCCGCCTCAGCCTTCCGAGTAGCCGGAATTACAGGCACGCGCTACCACGCCCGGCTGATTTCTTGATTTATTGTAGAGATGAGGTCTCGCTGCCCAGGCAGGTCTTCGAACCCGCGGGCTCAGGCAATCCACTCACCTCAGCCTCCCAAAGGCGCGGGATTACAGGCTGAGCCACCAAGCCCGGCAATATACCATTTTTAATAAATAAATTCCAGGTTTTTTGGAGTCCTCCCATAATTAGCTTTAAAAGAGGTCATGAGGTTAAAGTCAACATGGATGGGATTAGTAGCCTTAAAAGAAGAGTAAGAAACACCAGAGCTTTCTTTTCAGCATACAAAGACATTTCATCCCATGCGTTTGAACATTGCAGGAAGGTACCCATCTGCAAACCAGAGAGCAGGTCCTCACCAAGAACAGAATCAGCCAGCACCTTGATCTTGGATTTTGCATCCTTAAGAACATAAATGTTTGTTGTTTAAGCCACACAGTCTATGGCATTTTGTTATGACAGCCCAAGCAGACCAATACATTGAGATTTACTTGGGTCACAATGATAATTTATATTTTTAAGCTCCTAAGGGATTTTTATTTTTATCATAGTACAGAATAGCAACAAATCAAGCATGACTAAACTAGGAAGTTATCATCCCAAGTAATCCACTGGAAGCATCACTTTATTAGGTGAAACATATTAAAAATTTCAAATAAATTTATGGCCACCCATCAATATCTAACACCTACTCTCTTCCATAGCATCAAAGTATTTATAGCAGAGCCAGAGCACTGGATAGATGATGAAAGAATAAGTGGACAGTACCTATGTGTACCACTGCCTATCAGCTGCAGTCTCTTAACTGAATAACTGCTTTTAAGTATTTTAGCTCTTATACTACACACAAGGATGCTAGGTGGGTATCAGGCTACATGATAGAAAAAAATACAACCCATCATTTTTGATCAAATAGGACATGGAAAATTAACGAGTTAAGGCAACTGTAAATTATTTCTTTATTTTATTCTTCATATTTTCAGTCTAATTTTACCTAGTGTTATCCACTCATCAACCTGGGTGACTGAAAGGCACAACAGAGATATCAGCTACACTGATTACTTTATACCCTTTTTGGAGATTCAGTAGAACTGCTTGGCACAGAGTGATGATGTGTACATAAGTCTTCAAAAGTAAAATTCATATTAATTTAGCTAGAAATGTATAAATTCTTCAATAATTGCTTCAAATCTCAAGAGATATCAAACAATTTATATTTAGATGTAGCATATACATTGATATACATGTAGCATATATATTTGCTATTTTTTTGGTAAAATTTTTGAAATAGATTTTAGTCCTAATCTAGAAAGAACTCATAAGAATCCTAGAAACACACGCTGTGCAGCTATTTACCCACGTTTTCTCAGGTACCACCATGCCCTATCGATGCTTCCGCTGTTGCATCCATGATGGTTTTTGGCACAGCAAGAAATCAAATTCTGAGGAGACAAATTGGCTGTGTATCTGCCCTCAGACTGAATTGCTATTCGGTCAGCAGCCACACCTGTTTCAAATAGAATATTAATTAATATTCAAATGGCACATGGTATTTCTAATATTTTGTATATATATATATTCCTATTTGTTTGAACACCAATCTAGTCTTTAAAACTGTATATAACAAAATATTATTACAATATGTATGTACTCCAGCCAACTTAACTGTGTCATAATTTCACTCATAATTTTGTCTTACTTTGGTATTGTTCCATTGTTTTATTGATTTCAAGATTTTTATTGTTCCTTGTTTCTTTTATTTTCTATATCTATGAAATGAAACTCTTTGAGAGCAAAAACCATATGTCACTTATATTTCTATCTCCTGCGCCAAGAACAGTGTCATACATGTAGTCGTGGGTAAATATATTTTTTTGAAATGAGTGTGACTAAACTGAGTCAATCAAGAAAATTGATCATAGAAATTTTTTTTTTTTTTTTTTTTGAGTTGGAGTCTCACTCTGTCGCCCAGACTGGAGTGCAGTGGCCACTCCCGGCCACCGCAGCCTCCACCTGCTGGGCTCTGGCAATCCTTCCGCCTCAGCCTTCCGAGTAGCCGGAATTACAGACATGCACTACCACGCCCGGCTGATTTTTTGATTTATTGTAGAGATGAGGTCTTGCTGCCCAGGCAGGTCTCGAACCCGTGGGCTGAGGCAATCCACTCACCTAGAAATATTAATTGGAAATTTAGCCATGGTAATTTGATATATTGAAGTAAATTAAATTCTTGATTTTGAAACTGGTATCTAATTTAACGACCAAGGAATCCATACTTAAGCTAATCCAGACTAATACAAATCTGAATTACACAACATTTAAAAGCTACATGGCATATTTTTATGCTCCCAATATGATTAATCTTAGCTTAGTACACATGGATTTCAGCTTGTTTATACATATGTATGGAACAAAGTATTGTTATAAAAATCATTAATTATTATAACTGCTATTAATTACTATTGCTAGTTATATATAATATAGTTGGTTATACCTAGATATATGTAATTATGTATATACTATGGAATACTATATATATGTCCAATATGTAACTAATGATATGTAATGTTATATATAACTAATAATATAGTTCTAACTATTATTAACTAATATTAATGTTTTGTATACATGAGCGTACATATGTATTTATATACAATATACATTATGTCTATCACACACACTAGCTTTTTGTTATTAAACCTTCTATTTTTGAGTTTAAATAATTCCTTAGCTTTGGCACTGTTGTCAGTTCATTACTTTTCTCAACACATCCATTGAATACCTACCAGGTGACAGACACTATGGCACTAGATATTACAAAGATGAACAAGAAACAAAAAAGTTATAGTTTTGCCTGTATGGAATAATAGACTAGGAAAACTAATCAACCGGTAGCAAAAATTTATATGCATCATCATTCTGATCATGATGCCATAATAAACTAATGTGAGTGATGAGATCAGGAAAAAATTGGGGTGGGTACCATGTCAGTACAGATTTGCTGTTGTTGTTGTTGAATATCTGGTATTATGTTGTCTTGATGTTTAATTTCTTACTCACTTTTAACTAAAGACAACAAAGTAATAATCTTTCTTATATCAATTCACTTTGCTCTGTGGAAGTTTTAGGTTTTTTTCTCACCAAAGTTATCTGTGTACTGTAACCCCTCAAGGTGCTAATTTAGATATTTTTCCAAAATAATTCATTTTAAAACAATATGTTTGCATATGTATTACTGTACACACAAGGTTTTTACATAATTACAACATATTTGCAAGGCTGTAGCACAATTGCTGGTATGTTTTATATGCTCAATAATGTTAAATCTATAACCTATAACTTTATTCTATTACTGTAATAGGATATATTTTATAGGAGCAATTGGCATTATACTACCACCTCTGATATTCTCAAAAAATGATTCCCTAATTCATAAAAGAAAACAGAAATCTTTGATATTGACATTAAGTACAAGGGTTCAGAATCAAATACAAATTTTGAAACTGTTAGTACAATTGTGTTTTCATTCCAAAAATACTTTTATAGTGCAGAGGAAACAGTAGTCAAAAAGTCAGAGGTCTGGCTGCATTATTTCTGATATTTCTCATCTTTTGGCTTCAGGTAAGTCATATCACCTATTTTGCCTCCTTTATAAAACCAGAGGCTTGAAAAGGATGACCTCTAAAATCTCCTACATCCCCATGAATCTGTAGATTTCAACTAAAAGACACGTTTTAATTACCAATGTTATGCAATATTCTGCTCCTATATAGATATTTCTGAATCTCAATAAAGGTTTAGTTCAAATTCACTTGATATATTAGAAAAAAATCCAAAGATTTAAGAATTACTCAGTCTGGCCAATTGTTTTTCACTTTCTTCTTGAAAAATTTCAATGGGTGTTATCTCTGAAACATACTCTGTCATTTTCTCTGCTTAATTTGTCTCCAGATTTACTCTGGGACACACTATTTCCACCATTTCAAACACCTTCACCCTTTCAGCTTCTGACAAATAGCTTGAATTCATTTGGGTACATAAATTTTTAAAAATATATTATATAAATATAATATATAAGTATATATGTACAATTATATAAATATTTATTTTCTTATATAAAATATATTGATTCTATTTTATAGCTCTCTCTGAAAGTTTTTTTTATTTTAACTAAGAAAAAATGTTTAGATCTTAACAAGAACTTAGTTTATTATTTCTTTAACACAGAAAAAAATAATTGTCCTGATTTATTATACTGAATGCATAGGATAAAAGCCTGTGTCCTCTGAAACCACAAAAGGCTTGAAAATCTTCTCTCTGGTGTTCTGGTGAATTAGTACTGAACAATCCAGACTTGGACTCGTGTAAAGGCTATCTACGGGGACACCAAAATATACCTTCCAGCCTAGCAAGCTGCTGTCAATATTTCACCATAAACATCTTTTCTTAGACATCTTCAGAAATACTGATCTAACTTAAATTTTAAAACAAAATTTTTTTATAAATTGCCAACAAACTGTAGCACCTTAACCATATGAACATAAAATGACAAATGGTTTATTTGATTAAATCTCTCCCCACCCATCTGAGACAGAGCTGAAAAAGGTCCCCCCATTTGGCTCCCTAATGCATCAAGGACAAGCATCAGATAGCCAGAGAACATTTATACCAGGGAGTGGTATAAATGTGTAGCATGAACAGATGCAGTCACTCCAGAGGTGAGTTTGGCCAGCAACTGTGGTCCTGCCAAAGGCATTTCTGGAACAATCTGGTTGGTACTATGAAGCAATGGTATTTAATTTAAACAAAGGTATTAGCACTTTTCTGGCCCAGGATATGCTGCCCTTCGGAGTTGGCTTCTCTAAGAGTCTATGTACTTATTTCACAAAGCTTCAGTGCTTTAAATTGGTGTTTGTTTGTTTGTTTGTTTGTTTGTTTGTTTTGAGTTGGAGTCTCACTCTGTCGCCCAGACTGGATGTGGCCGCTCCCGGCCACCGCAGCCTCGACCCGCTGGGCTCTGGCGATCCTTCTGCCTCAGCCTTCTGAGTAGCCGGAATTACAGGCATGCGCTACAATGCCCGGCTGATTTTTTGATTTATTGTAGAGTTGAGGTCTCGTTGCCCAGGCGGGTCTCGAACCCGCGGGCTCAGGCAATCCACTCACCTCAGCCTCCCAAAGGCACGGGATTACAGGCTGAGCCACCAAGCCCAGCTCTTTAAATTGTTTTTATGCACACTTGAAATTACCTGCAAGGCCTAGAACATAGTTTTATGAAGATATTTGATAGTGTCCAATCATCATCATGTTAGGTTTTATTTAATTGCTGAAATGTGTCTGACACTAATTTGAGGATGCTTTTGGAGACCAAATTTTGGAGTTAATCTGAGTAATTCATTAATTGGATTTGTGAACTTATATGAAAGTAACTATGAAAGAGACATTTCTTATATTTTTTCAGTAACAGTAGCATTAATTTGGAAGCTACTCTTGTTAAAAGATCAGTTAAATTACTTTTGAGTCAGAATCTATGTATTTATATACATTTACTTAAAATGAGATAAAATCCATTTGATCCATCATGATTTAGTTCACTTAACCTTAAGTTAGTTTAATAACTATATTTTTATAAAGAAAAATGAATATAAAAATTATGTGGGTGTATCTATGTTAGAATTGCAAGTAATATTATGAATGAAGAAGAACCTTAATTCTCTTTTTATTATTTGGCATTAACTATCAATAGGTAAACAAATTTCAGCAACTCTATTTTGTTGCTCTTTTGATTCATTCTCTATTTAAAACTAGACCCCAAAAATAAAAACCAATTTTTAGGCAAAAAGTTAATTTTTTAATATAATCTTCAAGTTGCTTTCTCCAGTCAGAATAAGATTTTATTTTAATTAATCAGATGCTAATTTTTAAATATTTTAAATTTAAAAACATTTAAATTATTTTTTCAGTCTCTAGAATCAAAGAGGGTGTTTATAAGGAAGTAATTAAAATGACTTTATTACTTGCAGTGGAAAATGCCCATGATGCAGCACAGTTTTTTTGATCCAGTGGACCATGAGTCCATCCAGGCCACTTATAAGATGCAACAAAAAATTCTGGAAGATCTGTTGCTGCAGGTAAAGAAGCCTAGAGAGAAAGAAAAGGCATGTGTCAGCTTTTCTCAAATATGCCCCAGTAGTTATCCTAAGAAAATGTCATGCCCTTTTTATAAAGTTATAATTAATTTTTAATTACTTTGCACATTCAAATTTCTAAATGAAGTACAGTTATGTAGAATTTCTATTTCACTCTATGTTTAAAAATAAAAATTCAATGTGGGAAATCATAACATGATATAAAGTCATAAGAACAATTCACAGAATGGTTCTTCTGGATTACTGTACTGTGTGTTAATTTCAGCCAATGTTTCTGTTACCTTGGATCTGAGGTTTGCTTATCTATAGGAAAGACCACATGGCGTTATGTGAATTTGTCCTCATAAACATTTACTTTTCTGTCCCTCTCATTTTAAATAGTAAGTGTGATCCTAAAGTGAAATTGATTTTATTTTAAAAGAATGCATTTATGGCTACTACATATTAACAAAATTGGAAACGAAAAGAAACACATCAATTCTATACCAGATATTAGGAAATGAAACTGGGATGAATTGATTGACATTTATAAAATCCTTTAAGATAAAAAAGGATTTCAGGGAGTAAGATCAAATATATAAGAATGATGTCTTACGAACCCATGTTAAAGCTTGGGCAGTGTCCATGTCAACTGCTGATCTTTCTAAGAAGACAAATTAAATTGAATTTGTAGGAAACTTGCTCTGTTCATGTCATTCAAAGAAAATCTACAATAGGCTGATTTTTTTCCCAAATGTTTCTAATGATTAATGACTTTCACTTCCAATAATAATTGACCTAAAACCAAATAAAAATTTGTTTATTAATTTTTTCATCAGTTATGTATACATGTTTACACACACACTCATTATTTTTAGAGTACATTTAAGTTTTCAGTGTTTTAATATTCATTTTTTAAATTTCAATATTCCTATGTGATATAATCAGATACAATATTATTGGTTCTTTTTTGTGAATGAGGAAACTAACTTTTAAATGTTAAAAGACATACTGGCCAGGCTCAGTGGCTCAGCCTGTAATTCCAGCACTTTGGAAGGCCGAGGTGAGGGGATTGCCTGAGCCCGCAGGTTCGAGACCGGCCCAGGCAACTTGATGAGGCCTTTTCTCTACAGTAAATAAAAAATTAGCTGGGTGTGGTAGCGAGCACCATATAGTTTCGGCTACTTGGAAGGCTGAGGTGGAAGGATCGTGGAGCCGAGCAGGTCGACGCTGGGGTGGCCGTGAGCTGCCACTGCACTCCAGCCTGAGTGACAGAGTGAGACTCCAAAAAAAAAAAAAAAAAAAAAAAAAGACATGCTAAGGTCTCTCAGCTAAATATGAGATACTCCTGGGACTAAGCCTAGGTTTCAGAATTCTTAACATTATGGTATATTTCTTTCATTTTCCTACTTTATTAGAAATACAGGAATAATTTGAAGCAGACGTAAAGTGTCTGTAAAATAAAAAATATTACCTATCCAAAAGTTTTATGATTGTACATTGAACAAGTCATGCTGTTGATCTGGTATCTTGCAAAAAGTTACTTCTGACAAGTACTTAACAGCTTCAAAGACCAAAGCAAGGAAAACTTAGAATTTACATGTCTGCTTGAAAAGGTACCCATCCAAAATAATATATAAGTGTGTAATTTAATGGGGGAAGTTCAATTTTGATTTAGAGAATTGTTGCTACCTGATTAAAACCAAAAATGTTATTAAACCCTGAGTTCCATTACTAAAAACAATGCTATTTAGGCAATGGAAGAAACTTCTAAAAACATCAAGAAGTTCACTGTGGAGTTTTTGCATGATAACTTGGAGAAGAGTATCCTAGAAAGACTGGTGATTTGGGGGTTTTGGTGCATTTGATAGACCATATTACAGAGCCTTAAAGTCAGAGCAGAATACATTTTTTCTGAGTATATCATTTCAGTGATACAGACGCACTCTTCAAAGCTGTCTTTCTAACTGGGATAGAAATACACATATCTTAAAACTTATACCTTTCAGTTTTATTAATGGTTTATCAGTGTGCTTTTAGGCATATATAATGCTAAGTCTCCTCATGTTTTTAGAAAAATAGGTGGCGTGTCAGTTGTTATTTTAATTTATCACTTTAAATTCCAGTTTAATAACATAACCAAGATATTTTCTTTCTGCTCTGTTGATGCAATAAAGAGATAACTCTTACTTCAAACACATTTCAGCATGATTGGTTTATTTAGAATTTGATCTCCACATTTGAAAGCCCACCAGAATGCTTTGCACATAGGGGATACTCAATAAATACCTGATAATAATAATGAGACACATAGCTATCAGGTAGATTTCATCTTTTAAAAATATGTTTTCCTCTATAGGCACATTAAGTTAAATTATAATACCAGCATGCATTTGTTGTTTTTATCATTTATTCTTTAAAAATAAAACAATAGAAATAGCTAATTCTTCTCAATAAGGCAATAGATAAACAAAAAGCAAAATGACATTTTTATTAAAAACATATTTACCAATTCACTAAACCAGATCATTTCATGAGGCTTATTTATTGGATTTTTCAAGATTTTTGCCATCTATTTATTATTGCTTTTCCTAAAAGTGAGCTCCTAGGAATTGAGGCCCTGCTGGTACATATGTTTTATTTGCCTTATGATATCAAATAATCTGATATAATAAATAGAGAAAATTTTATATCCCATTATTTCATAATTACTACATTCCTCTGCAAAGTAAGAATGTCTCTTAGAGTTTATAAATAAAAGTAAGCATCACACAATAACAGTTTTCAGGAATTGATGATAAAAGTTTGGCTTTAATAAATGATTCATTGATTTTTAATTTTTTTTTAATGTTTTTGCCAAAGGACAGCTTAATAAAGCAAAAGGATCAAGAGAATCAACTGAGAGTGACAGAAATTCCAAAATGACATCAGCTTACATATATAGAAATTTATTTTTAAAAGAGACTTACACTATTCCATATGGGCACTTTAAATTCTTTTAATTATACTTTTGAAACAATTTTAATCATGCTCTAATTATATTCCCAAATAAGTACTAGCAAATTTGAGGTTAAATTTGAACAGTCTCCCTGCTTCAGTATTTCCACTTAAAAATTTGAAATCAAAGATATTGTAAGCAAATATTATAATTAAATGCAATGATAAACACTAGGGAATTGTATAACTTCTGCATTTAATTACATTGCAATCTCTAAAGGAGTAATGGAAATATAATCACAGAGCAGCTTGAGACAAACTGCTCAATTTTCTCTAGAACCTTAGAATAAATTCTGGACATCCTTTTTTTTTTTTTTGAGTTGGAGTCTCACTCTGTCACCCAGACTGGAGTGCAGTGGCCACTCCCAGCCACCGCAGCCTCGACCTGCTGGGCTCCGGTGATCCTTCCGCCTCAGCCTTCCAAGTAGCTAGAACTACAAGCGTGCACTACCATGCCCGGCTAATTTTTTGATTTATTGTAGAGATGAGGTCTCGCCAATTTGCCCAGGCAGGTCTCGAACCCACGGGCTCAGGCAATCCACTCACCTCAGCCTCCCAAGGCACGGGATTACAGGCTGAGCCACCGAGCCCAACCAGACATTCTTATTATTGAGTCTATATCTACATAATATCCCTTATGTGAACCACCCCTTCTATTCCTAGTTGCACTTTCCCTCCATCTAAATTTAGTTAATAAGAGTGACCTGAGAGTCAAATAAAGCAACAGGGAATGTAATTCTGTTGTGACCACAATCTAAGGTCAATGGTAATAAATACCAAGATTTCTTCTAAACCATTTGACACTGGGGAAGAATGGGCTAATTTTCTAATTTCTAGTGGCTACATAAAATTTCTCATCTTCAACAATATTTGCTTTCATGCCTTAACTTCTAAAGAGCTATTCTTTGGCAATTTGTGTAATGTTTTTTAATAACTGATTGTAGATCTCAATATGTACAGTGATTGCACTATGGCGGGTGGTTCTAGCTCTTTTCCAGTTCTCCCCTTTCTCCATAGAAATAGAATTTTTATCTCAGCACAAGCAAGCTCAGAAATATAACTACATTATTACTGAGTTCTGTCCTATAAGATATTCACAGGAGGATCATTTGGCAGGTTCTGAGAACTTTCCAGAAGAGACAGCTGGCACTTGACTTTTACTCTATTTTCTTGACCTTTTGTCTTCTTCTGCTAGCAGAAATTGGGACATTATAGTTGGCCATAAAGCAGTCTTGTTGAATCATTATACAATCTTGGAAATAAAGTCATTGGGCAATGGAGCAACAGGAAGCATGAAGCATGGGTGTTCAACATCACAGAGTGCAATTCCAGTGCAGGCCCAGCTCCAGATTTACTAGAGAGAAATCAGTTTCTGTCTTACTTAAGCCACTGTCATGAATTTTTCTCATTCTCAGCTGGGCTTAATATAACTAATGCAGCACACATAACTGCCATTAAAGCTGCTAGGGCAATGCCATATTTTACTAAAACCCAAGACATCGTCCAATGTAAGAAGTGTCCCAATTTTAGAGGTGTTAAGAAATGAAAAGAAAAAAATGTGCTTCTGAAAATGGTTGAACTATGATATTTCCTAAAATGAGTTCCTTAGAACACTAGTTCTGACAAATTTTTATAGGTAATTATAAAAGTAGTTGATTAATCAGTTCTGAGAAACACTGGTTTTGAGAATTAGATTTTTGCTTCATTGCAATCACTATTTATTTTATAAACTGCTAATGTATGTGAGGCTGTGAAAAGTAGAAATAATGTTCATGATTTGGACCCGTGAAAATATTTTATTTCATTTCATTTTATATTATTTTTATTTGAAGCAGATCAACGAACTAGTGTTTTATGGAACATACTTTACTATGGACAAGGTAGACCCAGACAAGGAGAGGCCAGCAAGTAGGTGCCTGTTATATAAACCCATAAAATTACTTCAGGAATCTACTTTTTAGCAGTTCAAAATATTTGTTTGTAGGGAGGAAAAAATACATTTTCACATTTCTTTTT